TACGCATATATGTGGCTCTCGTTTGGTTACATTATACTTTCTCTACGGCTCATGCAGAGATCAGTTAGGATCTATGTAACGACGATCGTCACACAGATCGACAAAGCGTCTCTGCGTAAGCGGAGAGAGGACAACGCTGCATCTTAGATCTGGCAACTCTGCGCTGCGTGCGTGGAGTCGAAATTGTATTATTGATGGGGCCGCGTCGAACATACACTGCTATCTAGCGTCTGTCCTAAACCGACGCGTACTACATTACCGACGCTTTCGAAGTTCGCGATCGCGTTCAGCATCCCCTTAAAGCTTAAGTTTTATGGCTTAAGTTCTCATTGTAGACCACTCTTAAGACATCAGGATATAAGATATCTTTAAGTCGTTTTAAAGACATCTTATGTCCCAATTTTGCACATTGTGCTGTCTGGGAATTCTACTGAAAGAATAATGTTTGGCAATGTAAAACGCACGCGACGAATTTTTTCTTATTAAACGTATGCGGAGAATCATCCTTCCACGTCAAATCTGATTTTTTGCAACTCATGTAATAAAGGAATCAAGTTTAATAATTCCGTAAAAATATTCAACGCGTTAATTTCACCCTACTAAACATTATTATCCTCCCAGTACATTTTAAAATTATCGCAATGAACATTCAGCGAATAGATCAACCTAGGCTTTGTTGTTTCTTTCAATGTGTTTATTTATCTCAATATTTATATATGCTATTATTAATTGCTTTTACCATATATCTTTAAAAATATCTTTAAAAAATTATCTAGATGTTCCTTCCACTTCTAAATCACAAGAGACTCAAGTATCGGATACTTTATATATGGTGTATTCATCTTTTGATGAAAGTACCGATGAAATAATTGGTTCTGTCAATCATTCAAAAAAGAAGAAAGAAAGTAATATTCAAAAATATGTACAATCGAAAAATCAAGACAAGATAATAAACAAATATAAGTATAATGATATTCAAAAAGATTTACAAACAAAGAAACAAAATGAAATAATAAGCAGACACGAGTACAGTGATAATTCAAATTCTTGTACAGCAATCCGACAGTCACAAAGTAAGATTACTTTTGTTGTTCTCATAGATACAATTTTATATAACTTTGCGGAAAGTACATATAATATAATTATTAAAAATTATATTTTTCATTTCTTGTGGTTATATTGTTTTTAAATTTTACATTGTAGTTACACAGAAGTCACTAGCAAATCTCTTGCAGAAATCACCTGTCAAGAGAAATAGTAAGTTGCGTTTTACACAAAGAAATATAAATAATTTCTATATTGTTAACTACCCGAGCAACAAAAAAATTAGTCAATTTTGAATGTATAGCAGTTAATGTAGAATTTAATTATTAATTAATATAACAACCCGTTTTTCCTTTATGTCATGACAAATTTATTTTGTTTATAAAATAGCCGAAAGCTATTACTATAGTATGTAACGAAAGAACTCTAATGGCTGCTATAAATGATTTGCGAAATCGCATCGACAACTTACACGCAACTGTTCTAAAAATTTATACCGCGACGTGTAATCCTGTAGAAATCTAACAACTCTGCTGGGATTCCAACTCTTCCATTGATTTCCATGGAAGAATTTAATAAATGGGAAAACTTTATAATGGTCGAAGAGAATAAATTGATAACGGTAAGAAAATATTTTATCTCTGCTTAAATATGTTTTCGAAATATCCATCCTAGATAACATAATGTCCAAAATCGAGACATAAAATGTTTTTATGACGTTATATGTCCCGATGTCTTAAAGATATGTTATGTTTTAATTTGAAATATTGTACTGTTTAGGATAATGATATTTATGAGCCCTTTTTGCATCATGTATTTTATTTATAAATTATTTTAACATATTACAGATTCGTCTATTAGTAGAGCATGGCAAGAATGATTTGAAAGATTCTGTATATTATATTATGCGTAGATTAATGACAAACAAAGTTGCTGTAAACTTTAACTTAAAAGAATGTAATAGAAAAGGAGTACAAATTGAGAAAAATAAGTTTGTAGGTACCAGAACTTATGATCTTGTTATTGGTAAGATTTGTAAAAAATTGTATAGATATACATGTTTTATGATACTATTGCTATTTTCGTTATAAATAAAAATAGAATAATATGTTCATTTACAGTATGCATTACCAATATTTGTAATATATAGTAATATATGTTGTGAAATGGATAATGTTTTTCTATTGCTAATATTATATATAATTAATCCTTATAATATAAATTTAATCTTACGTCAACCTAATATTTATATTTGCATTAAAAAAATTAGTAAGTAATATATCTTATATTTTTGTTTGCAGCTGCTTTGAAGTTACACAAAAAAGAAAGAGTTGATAGAGGCATTGACTTTTTCTATAATAAAGAAACCGCAGATTTTCATATTGCTAAAACTGGCTAAAAGATGCAAAACAAGGTTTTGACAATGAAAAATTGAAAAAAAGGAAGGATAGTGAGCAAGGCACAAGTTTGAGAAATAATGAAGATGCATAAAGGAAATATAGTTTCTACTATAAGTACTTCAGGAATCTTCTTTTTCATTTTTTTTTTTTTGATTTTTATTTATGAAGCCACACGAGTTTTGGTGTAAGAAACCTACCCTAGTTATTTCATTGATAAAATAATGAGTTATTTTTATTTCATTGTATTTTTAATAACATTTATTTACTTTTCCATAAAAAATTTTTATTTACACAAAGTGTATTTAGTATCTCATAAAGTGTTTTATTGTA